CTGGATCTAGCTGCCAAGTTTGCGATTCGTATTTTTTTCCGACAATGAAAAATCTGAAGCTTTTCTCGGAGGTTTCTCAGAACATCCAACTGCATTCGACCGAAGAAGTTGTACGGTTCGCAGCCTATGACATCGACCAAAGTCGCTTATTCTTCGCATCTTCTACTAATCTCGTTTACGCCCTTCACCTCTCTTCTTTCCAAGTAAGCTATTGCTGCCTTTGAAATTCGTTTCCTCTTTGTTGATTAGTGAGAAAAAAAAGTTTGGAATTTGGTCTTAATACGGATTTGTTATGGTGTTTCTTGCTATTTTGTGCTGAATTATTTAGTCATTATGTGTCAGAATGGAAGAGCTGGGACAAAAAGTGCTTTGCCTGTGGAGGTTTGCAGTATTGATTTGGAGCCTGAAGATTTCATCAGTGCCTTTGATTATCTCGCTGAGAAGGAGTCTCTATTGATTGGGACTTCTCAGGGGCTTCTGCTGGTGCATAATGTGGAGAGCAATGTGACTGAGCTAGTTGGAAATATAGAAGGAGGTGTCAAGTGTATCTCGCCTAGCCCGACTGGAGATCTACTCGGATTAATTACTGGTTTTGGTCAGTTGCTTGTAATGACTTATGATTGGGTTTTGATGTACGAGAGGGCGATTGGAGAGGTTCCTGAAGGTGTTCACGTACGTAAGGACCCTTCACCTTTGTTACCTCAATTTACTATTCTACTTTTGTTTTGTTTTCTTGACCGCATAAGGGTTAGTTTTATGGTTGTAGTTGAGAATATTATCCAGAACGCCTTCTCTTTATTTGCTAACCATGTGGATTAAATACTGATGTAGGTGAAGCAGATGGTTTGTCTGTAAATTGTGGGGGAATTTCCATTTCCTGGAGAGGTGATGGAAAGTATTTTGCGACTATGAGTGAGGTTTATGAATCCGGTTGTATGTATAAGAAGATTAAGATATGGGAAAGTGATTCTGGCGCTTTGCAGTCTTCTTCGGAGACAAAAGATTTCATGAAGGGGATTCTTGAATGGATGCCTAGTGGGGCGAAAATCGCAGCTGTTTATGAGAGGAAGTCAGATGATGGCAGTCCATCAATTGCCTTCTTCGAGAGGAATGGACTTGAGAGGAGCTCGTTTAAAATTGGTGAACCAGGAGCTACTGTATCATGTGAAACTCTGAAATGGAATTCTGCGTCAGATCTTCTTGCAGGGGTTGTTCGTTGCAAAACACATGATGCCATTAGGGTGTGGTTCTTTAGCAACAACCACTGGTACCTGAAACACGAGATTAGGTATCCAAGGGAAGCGGGCGTAATGGTCATGTGGGATCCAACAAAGCCACTGCAGTTAATATGTTGGACTCTTGCAGGGCAGGTTACGATTTGTAATTTTATGTGGGTAACGGCTGTCATGGAGGACTCAACAGCCTTTGTTGTAGATAACTCCAAGATACTCGTGACACCACTATCTTTGTCCTTGATGCCACCTCCTTTGTATTTGTTCAGCCTTAGTTTTTCTTCAGCTGTCAGAGATATAGCATATTACTCAAGGAACTCTAAGAAATATCTGGCTGTGTTCTTGTCAGATGGAAACCTGTCTTTGGTTGAGTTTCCTGCACCTAATACTTGGGAAGACCTTGAAGGCAGGGACTTCAATGTGGAGATTTCAGACTGTAAAACAGCGCTGGGCTCTGTTGTACATCTTCTATGGTTGGATGTCCATTCACTTCTCTGCGTCTCTGCTTATGATTCTAGCCAGAACAAGTGTCTCTCTTCGGGGTCGTATGAGACAGAGCTTCGTGGTTCTTATTTACAAGAAGTTGAAGTTGTCTGTTATGAGGATCATGTTCCTGATCAAGTGACATGCTCTGGCTTTGGGGCTAGCGTTACTTTCCAAACACTTCTCGAATCACCGGTAATGGCTCTTGGCTGGAATCCTAGTAAGCGTGATTCAGCCTTTGTAGAGTTTGAGGGTGGGAAAGTGCTTGGCTATGCAGCAAAGTCGGGCATTATGGAAGCTCGTAGTAGTGATGATAGTGTCTGTTTTCCATCTACTTGTCCTTGGGTGAGGGTGGCGCAGGTTGATGCTAGTGGGGTGCTCAAACCCTTGATATGTGGGCTTGATGATATGGGTAGACTGTACATCAACGGGAAGAGCCTATGTAATAACTGCAGCAGTTTCTCAGTTTATTCAGAGTTGGCCAATGAAGTGGTTACCCATCTGATTATTTTGACCAAACAGGATTTCCTCTTTATTGTGGATACCAAGGATGTACTGCAGGGAGAAATGGCACTCGGAAACGCGTACTTTGTTATTGATGGTAGGAAGCGGGACGAGGAAAATATGAGCTTTGTAAATATTTGGGAAAGAGGGGCCAAAGTAGTAGGAGTTCTCAATGGAGATGAAGCTGCTGTAATATTACAAACTATGCGAGGGAATCTCGAATGCGTTTATCCTAGAAAGCTGGTCCTCTCTTCCATTATGAATGCGTTAGCTCAGCAACGGTTCAAAGATGCATTAAACTTGGTAAGGCGTCATAGAATCGACTTTAATGTTATTGTCGATCTATATGGGTGGCAAGCATTTCTACAATCAGCCGTAGAATTTGTTGAACAAGTAAACAATTTGAACCACGTTACAGAATTTGTTTGTGCCATGAAGAATGAGGATGTTACAGAAACACTGTACAAGAATTTTTCCTTTTCCAGAAAGGACAAGGTTTCGCAAGTGAAAGATCCATGCAGTAACAAAGTATCATCAGTTCTACAGGCAATTAGGAAAGCTCTTGAAGAACATATACCAGAGAGTCCATCAAGGGAACTCTGTATTTTAACCACTCTTGCCCGAAGTGATCCACCAGCTATTGAGGAATCTCTTTTGAGGATAAAATCTGTTCGTGAAATGGAGTTACTGAATTATTCTGATGATTCAAGGAGAAAGTCTTGTCCATCTGCAGAAGAAGCCTTGAAACACCTTCTGTGGTTATTGGATTCTGAGGCTGTATTTGAAGCTGCCTTAGGTCTTTATGATCTGAACCTTGCAGCTATTGTGGCACTCAATTCCCAACGCGATCCAAAAGAATTTCTACCTTATCTTCAGGAGCTGGAAAGAATGTCTGAACCCCTGATGCATTTCAACATTGACATTAAATTGCAACGTTTTGATAGTGCTCTTAAGAACATTGTATCAGCAGGGGATGACTACTTTCCTGATTGCATGAATTTAATGAAGAAAAATCCTCAGCTTTTCCCTTTGGGCCTCCAGCTAATTACTGATCCTGAAAAGAAACAAGTGGTTCTAGAGGCTTGGGCAGATCATCTCACTGATGAAAAACATTTCGAGGATGCCGGTACTATGTACCTATGTTGCTCTAGACTGGAAAAGGCTTCAAAGGCATATCGTGAATGTGGTGATTGGAGTGGGGTACTCAGAGTGGGGGCATTAATGAAATTAGGTAAGGATGAGATCTTGAAATTGGCATACGAACTCTGTGAAGAGGTCAATGCTCTTGGGAAACCAGGGGAAGCAGCCAAAATAGCTCTCGAGTATTGCAAAGACATAAGCGGTGGAATTAATTTGCTTATCAATGCGAGGGAATGGGAAGAGGCTTTAAGGGTTGCATTTCTGCATACAACAGATGGTATAATCTCGGTGGTGAAGAATTCTGCTCTGGAGTGTGCTAGTGGTCTAGTAAGCGAATTCAAAGAATCAATAGAAAAAGTAGGAAAATATTTGACCCGCTATTTAGCTGTTCGGCAGAGACGATTGCTACTTGCAGCAAAGCTCAAGTCCGAGGAACGATCAGTAATTGATCTTGACGATGACACAGCTTCAGAAGCAAGTAGCAACCTGAGTGGAATGAGCGCCTATACTTTGGGGTATGTTTTTGCATTTGTCTTATTTTCTCAGCCATTATCTATGTGGAACTTTTCCTGTCTGATGTTAGACTGCATTACATATCTAAAACTATAACAGTGCTTAATTAGGGATTGATTTTTTTTTCTGATGAATTCAATATGTTTTCTGATTGTGTCCACCTTGATTATATGCATATGATAATTCCAGCATAGATGTTTGTATTAGTGAAGTGATAAGGCATTTGGGTGGTTCTTTAGTGCATGATCATTGAGCCTCTTAGCTGAGAGCTGACGACTCAAAAGGAGGGTTGGGATATTTTGGCTTTTCTAGGGTTTTGGGTTAAGCATTTGAAGGCAAAAGCTTGTTGACTGATCCTAACATTAAAGTACACGGGCATTGAGTGGAGAACTAAGACTTCTCCGTGGAATCAAAGTCTCTATCATGTAGTTGTTTTGTGGATTAAATAGAGCAAGAGTTTACTACTTTGGATCTTAACATAAAAGTTCTTGTTTTCAATGCTTTTATTCCAGGACAAGGAGAGGTTCTTCTGCTTCAGTCAGCTCAAGCACAGCTACTAGCAAGGCAAGAGACTTGAGGCGCCAGAGAAAGCACGGGAAAATCCGCCCGGGCAGGTATATAAATATATATTCTTTTGTGAAAATTTATCAGTTTCATTTGATGCGCAATAATGCAAATGAATAAAAATTGGGGTTGAAAATGCAGCGTGGGTGAGGAGATGGCCCTTGTTGAGCATTTGAAGGGTATGCGTATGACAGAAGGAGGAAAGCGAGAGCTGAAGTCGTTGTTGATATGTTTGGTAACACTTGGTGAAAAGGAGTCTGCACAGAAGTTACAACAGACTGCAGAGAACTTCCAGGTGGCTCAAGTAGCAGCAGTGGAGCTAGCAGATGATACGGTGTCCAGCGAAAGCGTCGATGAAGAAGTTTATTCCTTTGAGCGTTACGTTCAGAAGACGAGATCCACATCTCGAGATTCTGATGCCTTTGGCTGGATGCTTAAGGTCTTCATTAGCCCATGAATACCTCTAAATCACTTTCTGACTGAATAAACATCAAGAAGCTTTGTGGAATTTAAAACATCGAACCTTCCTCTACCGTTTTGGCTCGTTTACTGGAAATTAAAATGCCAGACGATAATAAGGTGTTTTAGCGTCGTTTTTTTTTGTCTAGACTCGTTTATTTATATACTACAAAAGAAACCATGGTGCTTTCAACTGGTTATCCTCTATAATTTGGCTATTAGCTAATTATCATACAAGAAAAGGAAATGCATTTACTCAATGTAACGACCATAAGATTAAAAAAAAAAACATTTGTATTTTCCAAAAAAATAAAAAAATATAGCATTATTGTCGTATTAATAAAGTATTGCATTTATTATTTTTGTATTTTTCCTAATGTGTATTAACTTTTTGCACAAGTACATTAATTTTCTATTGTTTTAAAACCAACTTTGACCTCTCTATAAACATCGCTCATATATACCATTTGCATGTTATCTCTTTTTATCAACTTATTTCTATAAGTACATTAATTTACTTTTATCTCAAAAACCTACTTTGAACTCTATAAAAGCAAGGA